TGTCCATTTATTTGCTGATTTGTGTGTCCGAAAATCTGCTGGAAATAGGGGAGAAAATTGATAGTAATTAGACCATGATTTAACTTAATTCAAGTGGGATTTATATGATTGAGTGTTAATTGTCTGCTGGGTGATTTTTGGAGAAAATCTAGTGAATTAGCTAGTGTTTTGGCCAATTTTGGAAGTGAAGTTACTGTTCACGATACTGTTCACGATACTGTTCACAGAACACTGTTCACACACCGAGGGCCAACAATTAACGGAGATTTAAATGTTTAGGTTGTGATATAAGAATAAATTTGGAGATGTCCGGTTATGGGGAGATTGATAGAAATAGCACTGTGATTAGGGGTAGTGCTAATGATGATTTCGCTGTAAATTTGTGGTGGTATGGTTATTAATTGTGGAATATTGTGATTAGGTTTTGATCATTTTGTCACTGTAGCACTTGGGTTAGTCTTCAGTTCTGTGCGAGTGAGGTAAGTAAATTATGGTAAAGCCCTTCGATTTTAAAGCATGTTTTAAACTGTTTTTGAGATGGTGGCAAGGTTTAAAGTGATTTTAAATTGATTTTAAATTGATTTTATCAGCATCTGAATGTGATTAAACTGAAATGGAAATTGTGATGGTTTTATGATAATTTCACTGTTTTTTTTCTGGAATTGAGCATGATTGGGGTGAAAATGGGAATTTCATTGTTTTCTGGAATTGAGCATGATTGAAATGAAAAGTGAGAATTTCATTGTTTTTCTGGAGTTATTACACCGAGCATGATTGGTTTGAAATGAAACTGTTTTCATTGGTATTGAGTAGAGCATGCCTATTTGGAATTGACTGAACTGTTTTGATAAACTAAGAGTTTACAAATTCTGAGTTTTCTGATAAATCCATGCCCACATGGATTTTTCTGGTTATTTCTGAAATTGGGATTGATTGTGAAATTCGGGTTCTCTGTAAACTTTGCATGGTTTTGTCTCGGATATGGTCATGATTACTGATTACTGTGCCCGCTAGTGGGAGGTTTATAAACGCTAGCACATGTCGACATGTTTACTGATATGACCGGTCCATTCTGTAACCCTACCAATGGGGTTAAACATTGGTAATTACTGTCGCCTACCAGTGGGAGTTGTAAACACTGGCACCATTACTGACGCCTGCCAGTGGGAGTTGTTAAACACTGGCACTTCTGTAACCTTGCCTATGGGGTTAAACATTGGCAACTACTGTGCCCGCCAGTGGGAGGTTTATAAACGTTGGCCATGACCTATGGATGAGACTACTGATGAGTTTTATTCTGCATGAACGGTTTGTCATGAAGGCTTTGATATTGAATTGAATCTGATTCTGTTTTAATGGTTTGTCATTGAACGTTTTGCTATTGAACGGAATTTGATTCCGCATTAACAATTTATCATTGAAAGTTCTGTTATGTTTACATGGTTTGTCTGGCAAGCTTAAAAGTTTTACCCAAGGGCTATCCATATTTACTTACTGAGTTATCTCATAGTTTTCCTTGTCCACCATTTCAGGAAGTGATACCGAGGACGGGGAAACCGAGGGGAGTGACGAGTTAGAAGGCTAGCCATCGTGTAAATTGAATATGGATTTTAGATATGAATGATGATCTTGTAAGCAAGATTTTAATTGGAGATTGTAAATTCATTTAGTGGATTGTTAGTTTTTAAGATTTTATCTTCAGATTTTGATGGTGTCAGATTGTGAATTGGATAAGTTTTGAGCCTTGTGCACTTGCGGGACCCGTCTCACGAGTGCACGGCGTCTGTCGCGCCTCGGATTCGGGTTTTGGGGCGTGACATAGAACAAGAAAGGAAAGGGAAAATACCAAGCTTCCTTACCAATTTTCCAAGGCATGGCTGGGTTTCCCTTTTTTTTTTTCCTCGGGTGGCTGCAGCAAGAAGAAGAGCAGAATCGGGTCTAAGGAGGAAGAAAAGAAAGAAAGAAAAAGAAAAAAGAAAAGAAGTCATCCTTATCCAAAATCTTTCCCTCTTTAAGTCCCTCAACTTTCAAAATATTCACATTAGTCCCCAAAACAATCTTTTCTCATAATCAAGTCCTTAATTTAATGCTAAAATTCCCGAAAATTTGGGATATTACACTCACCCCTCCTAAAAAGGAGTTTTGTCCCCAAAACTCAAATTGAGGACCATTTCAAGTGGTGAATGGCTTCACACAATCCGAGACAAAACAATTGCCTCATCACTTTCTAGGAACAGAACACGACCTATTATGCTTCCGCTGCGCCACTTTGATATCAACCCACAGCTAACCATAGAAGCAGAACACTAACTACTTAATAGGATTTACCATGAAATAAGCTACTGGAGGCTGGGGTGACATGGGAAGCACAAGGAATAAAAATAAATCCTGCCAAGGCCACAAAAGAACAATTGTGGGGTTACGCTTTGAACCCAACACAAGACGAGTTGGCAAAGAATGGCATGGATTTAAAGACAATTACAACAAAATTTTGAACTCTATTAAAGATGGATAAGCATCCAATGGATATATGGATCACGAATGAATGAACGAGTGCATGGATGCCTTATACATTTTGCCACAATAAAGGTAACCAGAACCAAAATCATGTTTAACAAACAACTGGAATTAAGAGACAAATTTTAGCAATTAACAAGAGTTAAAAGCTGGACTCATCAAAAGACATGTAAGAATCTCAAGAATGGCAACAGAATAAAATCAATGGAAAATATGAATGCTTGGAAGAATATTAGAACACAAGAGTGCAAGGTAGAATGCCTAAAAAATTTGGCAACAAAACGGCATTCACCAAGAATCAAGATCACATTTAACCAAGCAGTCAAAATTGAGAGACAAGAGTTAACCATGAAACAAGCAATAAAATTCAAGGATTAGGCCCACAAAAGAGATTTCAATAATGACAATCAGAACACGGATTCAAGAGCAGATATAATCAAGATGTCAAGATCTAGCACCTCAAGTACTAGAATTAATTAACAGAACAAAGCAATGGCTGGGATCAAGATGCTTAGAAGATTCATGTCTTCTAATTAAAAGGGCAAACAAAAATCCAAGCAGCCAGATCAAAGAACCATTTCACTTGGAACAAAACTCTAGGGTATCAAGTACTTCAAAGATTACCCCTTTACCTTGTAGCTCATGGAGGCTAAGCAGGTTTACAATCAAGTCATCCTAGACATCTTAGAGTCAAGTCAAAGCTAAGATATCAAGGATACAGAGACTAACACTTATAAGAGGCCAGAATGAGGATGCCTCATATAGGTATTTCGTCACCCCTCCTAAAGAGGTGTCCATATGAACAAAATCAAAAATCAAGAAAATCAACAGGTATACTGAAACAAGACCCAGCAGAATATGCAGGATTTGAGAAAGAGTAGTATACAGAATTTGAACAAGAGCCAGTGTCAGAACAAGAATGGTTTTCAAGGACAATTCAAAATAAATTCCAAGAACAATGCAAGAATTAATTTCAGACAAGTATCAAGATAATGAGGATTTCAATAATCATTATCCATTTCTGGATTTCAGTTTCAAGAACAAGTACAGAGCAATATCAAGAAAGATTCAAGACGGATTTCAAGAGTTTCAAGCAATTTCCAAGTATCAAGAATGTAGAGATTGGCAACAATAGAAAGTTTAACTTTATGACAACTTGCCAATCTTCATAAAAAGACAACAATTTCAATTGAATGATCACTGCTCTTGATTAACCAATATAGAAAAATGAGCCACATGAAAAGACCATGAAGTTCCAAATGAAAAAAAGTGAAACTTCACTATAAGACTTTCAGAAGATAAGGAGCAACGGAATTACCAAGCAATCCAGCTCCTAAAACACAGCTAGAAAACACACAACACTTGCTAAAATAGCCTTGAATCTCTTACAAAGTAGAGGGTTGCCCATCCTCCACTAGTCATGTGACAAACAACAAATTTCTCAACCAGCTATGCTGTAGAGACAAACAGAGTCAATAACAAAAGATCTCTACAACTCCTCAGATTTCACAATTGTGGCAAAAGAGCACACAAAAATTCTATTCATGTAACAAGTCTAAACAAGTGCAGACTATCAGAAAATGACCAAGTTTCAAAACAAGGTCTTCAGGACATAACGGGCAAGATTACTTTCACAACTTCACACAGAGTATGAAGGCAAGAAACAAGAACAATCAGATCACCATCTCATCGAAATGGATGAGAAAATTCAGGCAACATGAATCAAAATTGTCCCTTATATAACCCCATCACTCGTCTCACCACGGGTTTTAAAATCCACTGGCTAGCCAAGTCCAAAAAAAATCCTAGGTATTCAATTAAACCTAGGCTCGAATATCACTCAATCTGCTCTAATGCCACTCAATCTGGAGGTGCTTAATTTAATCCAAAACTCTAAATTTAAACCAAGCTCTGATACCACTAAATCTGTCACGCCCCAGAACCCAAATCCGAGGCGCGACAGACGCCGTGCACTTGTGAGACGGGTCTCACAAATGCATAAGGCTCGGAACTTATCACACCACAATCTGATACCACCAAAATCTGAAGATCAAATCTTTAAAATTTCTCCGAT